TCTCAGCAGACAGAAGACGCATATCCAGACCTCAGCAACTTGATGATGGGAACTGGAAAGGGCTCAAAGGGAAAAGGACCAAGCCAATCTTGATAAAAACAAGGCTGCATTCGACAGGGATCAAGCCATAGTCGAGAAAGACGAGGGGATAATTGAGAGGGATTGTTAAAAGCGGAGCGGACCAAGCTCAGAATTTACATGAGAGTGCAGCGAACTGTGACCAGATAAAACCAGAAATTGAGCGATTGCGGAAAAAATGAAGGAATGCGCGAGTGCCAAGGAGCGGAGAACGAAGACGTCGATTGAGCCCTTGATACCGAGATCGAGACCGGATTCCAAGATGGAAGTGGATGAAACTCCCAGGGTGAGTGGCCGCTTCAACTTGGACCGTATAGCCCAAGAGCAAATGAGTGAAGACCTGGACACGTGGACGCCACCAGAACCTGTCCCTTCCTTGAGAGATCTCGAGTCAGGGCGAATTAAGCCGTGGTGGTAGATGTCGCACTACCGGGTCTGACATCCAGTTCAACGTGTGGAAGTCAGGCTAGCGCGGGGACATCACCTCTGAATGAACTGTAAGAGGGGCTGCAGTCAAGGACGCCGGAGAGTCCTGCACGCGAAGCTGGGCCACTCACTTGGAGAGAACATCCCGTGAGGATTGCTATAATCTGTAACTAAAAGAAGAACACCCAAGGCGCATACCACCGACATTGCAGGGAGGACTGGACGGCGGTGAAACGCGAGAGGAGGGATGCTTTCAATGACGCGTCTTGTGCGATTATTTCACACAGCCGAAAATACTTGAGCGCACGGTCCACTTGATAATGGGGGACAGTCTTGTCAGGGTTCTGACGAGGATCCAGGCGCACTGGCAAGTCGGAGTCTTGGTTTTTTTGGTTGTTGGCGTCACTGGAGATGCTGGAGGTGGGAAATCATTCATGGTCATCTTGATGATGAAAACGAACGATGTCTCTCGAGGCGAATCCAGGAACATGATGAGGTTGCCGGAAAAGGTGAGCTGCTTTCTTGAGGAGCTGAGGGTCTACTTGGACGCTACGCTGCTCACGATTTGCACGGTTACCTAGGCCCTGGAGAATCAAGCAAAGCCAGGTATTTGGAGCGAGTAAGAATTCTGGAACTCGAGGATCTGGCCTGCAGGCGGGAGTTAATGGAGATCTTGGGACTCAAAAGTCTGTCGCACGAGGATCTGAGCGTGGAATGGCTGAAGCCGCATGAAGCGCATTTTTCTCGAGACAAGACTTTGGAAGCAGCGTACCTGACTGGAATTCCGAGGGAGGAGTTGGGAGTCCCGAGCTTCATTGTAGAACCACCAAAGCACCGCACGAGCATTGTCAGAATTAAAGTGGCGATTCCCGCGCAGTTAAGAACCGTGGACGAACTTCTTGAGTCAAAGAATATGTGACTCCACGGTACTGCTTAAATGGGCCCGAAATTGTCTGAAGATCCACGATACGGAAAACCTCATGGAACCTCACAGCTGCCAAGGCACTGGCAGTTTATGCTGCTGTCATTTTTGATCACCAAGAGTGGCCTCTGAGTCAGTGTCTTGTTGAATACTCTTGATATATCGATCACAACCCAAAGATGCACGAAGCTGGGATACGCACTGCCGATGAAAACTAGATATCAAATGACTGAAGTTCTTGATTGTCCGAGTCACAAGGACAAGATTCGTATCTTGAGCAGATTGAAGAAAATAAAAATATTGTCAGTTCTTATAAATTCACTCAAGTCAGAAACCGAAGATGAACATTCGAGCTGTTCGAAATTCTCAGAACGACCCACAAAGGAAGAATTGGAAATGAGTAAACCAGTATTACCAGAAACTGAACGCTTATTGTGCAAAATAATGGACGAACAGCACGAAGCCATCAAGGACATGCTAGATAGAAATCAGGATGTTTTTTGAGACTTAAATCGGACATACAACTAGAGGAGTTGGCATTATGATGCCTTAAAACACCCAGGAGCGCCATAAAAACACTATGAACCAGTCGTCTACTTAAATCACATATGAGGTTAAGATAAACAGGCCCTATAACCATTAATCCAAGGGTCAGGGACACTTTCTCTCGTGCTTTTATACCTCATTCAGCCGGAGCCTATTCGATTCGCGTAAGACGTGAGACTACAAACTGTGTTACCGCTTAAAAGCCACTACCAAAGACCCTCGCCCTACTCTAGAAATAAGAACGCCACCATGGCTTGGTCTCTAAATATCTAAAACACGCGAACGGCTTTAAAAACAGGACCGGAAGATCTAGTATACTGCAAGTTTTTATTCGACAGTGGGCATTTAATCCATTTCAGATGGATCAACCGAAACCACGCATTATCTCAACATAATCATATAAAATGCACTCGATAAATGCACACAGTGACGCGACTCTAGAATTAGGTAATTATTAGTAATAAAGCAATTCTGGAAGAAGTTCAAGGTGAATAAGTCTGGCTCAAGAATTATGATTCCCTGGACCATTAGGCAGCTTCGGCTGTCCACCTTCCCAGTCAAGTTTCACTCTCGCCCAATCAATTGCATTTCTTTCCTTGAACTCTCGATCCTCTCTATCAGGCTCTATCAGGAACAAGACAACTCTACTCGTACCAAAGCTTCTGGTGAAATTGCGATTAGCAAATTTACTCTGCTGATTTCTTTCGACTCTCCCGCAAATACATCTTGACAGGGTCAATTCAAACTTTTAAAAAAATAATTTAAAACAAGATTTAAAATAAAATAAAACAAGATCTGACCGACTGGCACATACTCCAGAAGTTTTTTTGGTAACAAGTAGTTTTAAATCAATAAGTTTAGTCTTCTCAACTTATGGGCAGCTTCACTGGTCTGCCTGCCCAATCAAGATTTTTTCTCGCCCAACGATAATACGACGTAATACTTCATGTTGCTATCTGTCAGTAACAAGACAGCTATACTCGAGTTGTTGCTTGCAGTGAAATTCCGAACAGCAGTTTAATTCTAGACTGATTTTTATCATTTTTCCCGCAATTCTCATATTTTTCTTCTGATCTAATTAACTTCTGTTTTTCAGTTGTCCCGAAAACCTGAGCATGATAGGGTTGATTCGAAATTTTGTCCCCACTAAAGCTATACTTCCAGAGTCAAAAAGTTCTGGCTAAAAAAAAAAATTTCTGAAATAACTTACTTGTTAGCATGAAAATTAGCGACAAAACAAAACTGTAAAAACAAAAAAGGTGAAAACTCTCAGAAAATTGTGACAAATTGTTTAAAATTTTTGCATAAAAGTTGTTATAAAATTACAGTAATATTTGTAGTTGTAAAGTCTTGATTGGTTGAATTTTTTTAAAAATTTTTAAATAATGATGTGTATGACTCTTTTTATGATCTTTGATCATTTTGTACAGATAGTTTAGAATTTTTTAAAACTGAAGATGCACAAAGATGTGAAAAAACGTTTGTTTGAGTTTATGATTTTAACGCGTTCTCAAAACATTTAGATGTAATATTTTGAAAATCTACGGCGTGGAGCCGATTCTCAATAACAGTCTCTACTACAAAAAGACGTTATGTCAGTTTTTTTCCCTTTTTTAGTTGAAACATTTTTAAGAGGAATTTTTTTTTCAAATTTTACCATATTAGATTAGAAATGCTCTACATTGTAGCGGCTAGCTCCCTCTACCACAGTCTGAAGCAACTTAGCCTGCCGGAAAAAGAACAATTTCTGGCCAAAATATTGGCTATTCCGGGAGTTTCCTTAAACTCGAACAATACGAACCCACAGAAGAACCTCGCAAGCCTACTCTGCAGGGCACTCTAGCAGAAAAACGTCAGCGTGATTTGGACTTCAAAAATAAACTCATTTGGAAAATAGTCCGCGATTAAAGGTCCATTTATGTTGAATTTATCAACTGTCACCATGTGTTGAAGTTTTCAGAGTTTGTCTAGAAAACGACATTATACCAGATTTTTTGAGGTTCAGGGAACCGGGAAATGGGGTGTTTTTGAACCAAGTGGTACACAGTTTTCCGACAATGTTTTATGAACAGAGAATAACAAAAGCAAGGACAGATGAGAAAAACGTTGAAGTCAAACTAGAAAGGGCGAGAGGCGCAGTACAGAGGGGTGTAGATGAGAAGTTTTGGCCAAGGGCAAAAATAAAAAGAAACTGGCTGAGAAAAAGGAGACCTGTGGTTATAGCAGTGATTCACCATCTTGATGGTCCAATATAGGGGGAATCACAGTCAGACATCAGCAATAAAAGTGCGCGATATCACCTAATATTCAGATAGTATTCACGACGAGGAAAATGAAAACTTGTATGCCCTCTTTAAAATCCTCCTTTTCCAGTGAACTGAAATCAAAAATGGTGTACGGACTTGAATGTTGTGGGTGCAAATCCATCTATGTTGGCCAGGGAGTTTAAATAAACGATAATCGACCAGGCGTCCAGCAGCATCAAGTTACTTACATTAGAGGCGCTGCACATTAGGAAAAAGAGACCGGCAATTAACACGCGCGACGACTTTAGAAGTAGGGAGTTGACAATGAGGCTATAGTTCCAGAATCGAAAATTTCTGGCTAACACAAAATTTTTTGAAATAACTTACGTGTAAGCATAAAAATTAGCGACAAAACGAAATCGTAAAAACATAAAAGGTAAAAACTCAGAAATTTGTGACAAAATGTTTAAAATTGTTACATAATTTCAGTAATATATGTAAAGTTTTGATTGGTTGAATTTTTTAAATTTTGATATAATGATGTGTATGACAATTTTAATAACCTTTGATCATTTTGTACAGATAGTTTAGAATTTTTAAAACCTGAAGATGCACAAAAATGTGCGAAAACGTTTGTTTGAATTTACAATTTTAACGCATTCTCAAACTTCTAAATATGACCGACTGGCACACACCTTGACCTGCTCGTCTGATTGCGTTAGTACTAAATGCTATGAGAAAAGTTCATTTGAAACTTAATGTTTCAAGAGCTAATTATAGGTTTTGAAATGAGTTCGCTGAAAGCAAGTGTGCTGCCCAAACTTGTAACATTGCCCAGTGAATGGGATCTGGATGATGATCTTGAAAATGAGATTTCCCGTCTAGCGGAGACTACCTCTTCTCCGATAAAAGCTATCAATGGTCAGCGCTGTGAAGGTGACGAGGACTCTGATGAAGATCAGTTCCTAAAATCGGTTGATCTTTTTGTGAAAAAGGATTTTAATACTTCGTTGAATAGCAATAATGATTCTATTGTCGAATCTGGAGGTTCGAAGTCTTCCAACACTGCTGAAAGAGTCACCGAGAAGTCAGCAATTGAGGAGGCTCTTTGTGCTATTGAAGAGCGTGAGAAAAGCCAGGATCCCATTTGTGAGTCTTCTGAGGACTCAGAGATAGATGTTGATGCGAAGTCTTGGATGAGAAAGCCAAACAGCGAGTTAGTGAATGGCTTAATTGATTGAATAAAAAACTTGATGATGAGTGATCGATTTGATGAGTGATCATTGAGCTCCACTCTAACTGGTCCAGCGTTTATTTCTAATGGGCATAAACTTGATCCTACCACTCATAATTTCAAAGTAATCACAAGATGGATTCAATTACAATTGGTTTCAATCAGATAGAAGACTCGGAAATGCCGGATGAGAGGAGTATGATTCATTTCAAAAATTCCGGGAAATAGAAGTTTAGAAACATGTTTATTTTCAAATTAATTTCTAAATTTTGAATTGTGGTTTCGAGGAAATCTGGGATGGCCCCGAAAGATGTCAAGTTTATCTGGTCTTCCACTGTGGTGAAGGACAAATCACTTAAAGGGCCTGTGAGTCAAACTAGCTGGTCACCGAAGAAACCAAAAAAAGTCGACCAAGCCAATCGAATACTCGGTGAGTAGTTAGTTTTTTAATTTTTTTTTGCGAGCCTTTCTTCATAAATCCGAATCATGACCGAAAGAGCTGTAATATGAAACTACGCTTGACTTCGGGAAAATTTTGGTTGTTTTTCTTCACAAATTGAAGATTGATTGGAAATCTAATATCGTTTAAAAGGGAAATCTTCAATTTGCGGAGACTTTAATATTGACATTTTAAAACCCAGAAAATTGAATATACGAACCTGATAAGATTCTTTTATGTTAGTATCAATTCATAAAACCTTTACAATAGAGTCCTGTATAGATCACTGCTTGTCTCAGGACTATTCGGATACTTGTATTTAACATTCCACCATGAGTGAACATTATGAATTAATTTCATGGGGAATCAAAAATGAGCAAAAGAATGACTCATTTTTTTTTGCAAAATTTGGGTTCTTGGTTAATCATGAATTACAGCATATTCACTCAAAAATGCAAATCAAAAATTTTTATTTTTGGAAATTTTAATAAATAATTTAATTGCCTTAAGAAAACCACGAAAAAAAAAAATCTTTGGTTTGATAAAATGTTTAAAAATCAGATCAAAATGCGGGATAGAAAAGAAAATTGATGCGTTGGGTTGAGTTTGGGTCGTTTATGGATCATGAAAAGGATAAATAGTCTAGAAACAAAATAAAATTATTTGCGAAAATACAAAAAGAGGTTATTTTCGAGGTATATATTAAGTTTTGTAAGGATGAACAGTTTACAAGAGGAGAAGTGTGTGTGTAGTTTTTCTCTAACATGGAAACAATTTTGTTCACCAGAACTTTCATATGAAGGAAAAGGCAAAAAACTAGTGTGTTTAATTTTCCTCCTTATGAAACTTCTTGAGAACAATTTTGTTGATAAATTTTTGTCTAATGTTAGAAAAAAAACAATTAAGAGTTTCCACTCACATGCTTTTTTCTCTTGTTAACTGTTAATACTTACAGATTGTTTTAATAAATGTTTAAGAAGATGCGCTTGCATCAAAAAGAATTCAAGTAAAAATGGTCGTGGCCATGATGGCATTAGTAACAATTTTATTCAGAAATTACGGCCCGTAATATTTCAGCCTCTGAATATTTCAGCCTCTTCTTTAGGTGAAGGCGTTTTACGGATGGATAGTCTTAATCTGGCGAAGTTCATGAATTTACATAAATGTGGTGAACTTTCTGATCCCAACAATTATAGACCCATTAGCCTACTCAGCTGTTTCAAAAAATTTTATACAAACAACTAATGACGTTCATTAAAAAATATAACATTTCAAAAGGGTGCTATTTAGGTTCCAACCAAAAGAATCATGTGTTTATGCTTTGATTCGTTTCAGTGTTTATGAGAGTTTCTAAAAATAAAATGTATTTTGGAAACGCCTGTTTCATTGACCATAAGAAAGCATTTGACAAAATTGATCACAGCTTTCTATTGAGAAGTTACACTGCTAAGGACTTCTCGGAAAAGGTAACAAAATTTTTGAAAGTTTTCTCAGTAATCGGAATCAAAGTGCTGAGCATGGCAATGAAATTTCATCTGTTAAACTAGTCCGACTTGGTATGCCCTAAGGCTCTGTGCTGGGGCCATCACTTTTCCTTTTATATATCAACGATATACCTGATGTGTGCAATAATTCGAAAGTTGTTCTTTTTTTGCCAATGAGACCACCACCAAATAATGCTTGTCGTAATAGTAATATTGAGCTATAGAAAAATAATGAAAGTTTCTCTAATTGGTGACAAAGAGGGTATTCACAACTTGCCGTTCTGAAAATTTCTCACCCCATTATATTTAATCTTCTCTTCATTAACCTTTTTCAGGGTTACCACTTGATGAGCTGAAATTTCAAGTGATTTTTCGTTTTTTAGTTTTTCGTTTCATTTTGCAGCATTGCCTCTGTGCTTAGTTTGTAAAATCAGACCGCGAGTGATCTTGTCATCCGTTCTTCTAGAGAAATACGTTGCCGGAATTTAAACCATTGCTTTCACTTGAAAATGAACGAATGAATGGGGTATGGTCGGAACAACAAGTAATGAACCACTTCGTCCATTTTCAAGTGAATTAATTTGAATCTTTTTTTCTCAATACTTCTTTCAAGCAAATAGGTTTTCAAATGGAACTTTCCAGAGTCTTCATTTTGACATGAAATTTTAGAGACAAGTAATTTTTTCTCTGGAAGGGCAGATAAAGTAGATGTCTTCCGAAACAAGTTCCTATTCCAATCAGTTGAAGTGCTATATTTGCGAACAATCAAACTAAAATTAATCAATGAGACTCTGAACATGGTGATTTAAGTTTTAAGTCCAACTTAAGATGGCATAATAATGTGACAAAATTCGACCAATTTTGAAGGCTGTTTGTCTCGGATGCCGCAGTTTCTTTTAATTCTAATTCATATTGTAATTTTCTTCTATACCTATAGCACAAAAACTGAAGTCTTCACTGACTGTCAAACGTAAGGAATGAATCCAAGGGTCGCTCTTTTCACTATCTTTCTCTGTTTTTTTCTTGATCTATTCTGGTTCATAATCTATTGTCTCTTCCTTCAAATTAGGGCTTATTGGTGACTGGATGAATAATTTAAAGACAACGCTTGTCAGAATCTTTGGGAGTTAATTAATACTTATCTGTTTTTGACCACTACTATTTTTTTCAAAACGCGCTTTCATTTTGAAACATGTTTAAGATTTAATTCGAGATAGCTGACCGGCTATATGGTGTTTAAATTAGCTCAAAACCCTACCCCTAAAACTCGTTTGATTTTTACGCAAAACCTTCCTTCCTTGTTATGTTCCACAAAATTATACAGTGTATAATTTTGTGGAATATAACCAGAAAAATTTTGCGCACGAACACAAAAAAAAGTTTTGTAAGGTTGGCGTTTCGAACTAATTTCACATCTGTTAACTATCTCGACATAAATCATTAACATTTCTTCAATGAAAAGGGCATTTTGAGAAAAAATTACTTGGTAGTGGTCGAAGTAGGATAATTATTAATAGACCCAAAAATTTCGGCAAGCATTTTGACAATCATTATGAAAAACATCTTGCATTAAAGAAATTGTTTTTGGGGTGCTATCTTTTTGTTTACTTGTCTAGAAGTAGACTGTATGATTGTTTTTAGAAGAGTACGGTTCCAGTCCACAGTCTCAGCATAGAGTAGTAGCCATGATGAAGGCACAGCAACTGGCACTGAGCGAACACAACAGCGTCTCTGGACATGCAAATCGCGATTGCCAATTGATTGCTAATCAATGTTAGTAACAATAGGGATTTTTTTTGAGGGGGGGGGGGTATTTTGGTCTATTTTTTCAATAATGCGTGTGGTGAGTTAATTTTTTATTGCTCAATTGATTTTTTAGGCATTGAGCTCGGAAACGAAGTTCGGGCAATCTAAATTAATTTTGAAATCCGCCCCTTCTCTTTAAAGGCCATGGTATCAGTGCGGTAAGTGCTACATCAGTGCGAAGCGTGATCTATCTGTGCCAGCAAATGAACATCAGTGCCAGTTTTTTTTCATCGCGCTTCACTGAATCGTTCAAAATCAAAAATTAAGCAGGCTTACACAGTATATGTTTTTTTTTCAGGTATTATGAGCAGCTTTAAGAATAAATAATTAGTGGGGTCAAAAAAATTGCACCAATGAAGAAAAGTGGGGTAAAAAAGGCTACTTTTTCAAAAAAAAGTCAGTGCCTGGCATTTGATTTCATCAGTGCCTGTCATTTCTCAGACACTGTGGCCACCCTAAATAGGTTCTCTCAGTTTGCCTAAGTGTCAACGAACGTACTGAAAAGACTTATTAGCCAGCGTTATCAAATCGGAATGTAGACTTTTCGGGTTAGCAACTAGTTAAACGAAATCAGTTGAATCAATTGCTAATATGATCTTGAATCATATTAGCAATCACGCTTCACTCATGACTGCTGACATGCTTAAATTCTGGGTGCAATGTTTGTATTAAATTTTTTTACATATATATTTTTTAAATTGCTGGCCTTATGATAAATTCAAATAGAACGTGAGTTTTTAAGATTCAATTGAAACAACTGGTCGTGGGAAGTGCCCCTACATGATCAAAATTTAGGGACCTCGGACTGAACAAATATTTGATTTTTGACCATTTTTGATCCTTTTTGACCTTTCTCGAAAAGTACCCGTCCAATTCTGAAATATTTGGTTCAACCTTAAAAACGCTTTGGGAGAATTCTCTCAATATTTGGATACGACCAAATTTTGTATACAAAAAGTTATGGACCTTGGATAAGTCAAAATTTTTTGATTTTACGACCGTTTTTGAATTTTTTTTTGCTTCTCAAAAACTACTCCCAAATCTGATTTTTTTGGTTTCAATCGAAACAACCTGATGTGGAAAGCGTCCATGCATAATCAACTGAGCCCAATTTTTTCCAACAAGAAATTAGGGCCCTCGGAATAGACAAAAAAAAATTTACCGTTTTTTGAAAGTAATTGACTTTTTTTAATCGAAAACTACCCTCTGCAATCTGAGTTTTTGCGTTCAATTGAAATAACAGGTTGTGTGAATGTCTTTGTATAAGCGGCTACGCCCAAAATTTTTCACAAATAAAGCTATGGTTCTCGCAACAGTAAAGTTTTTTTTTTCATTGATTTTTTTTTGGAAATTTTTTGACTTTTCTCGAAAACTACCCTGCCAATTTTTAAATTTATTTGGTCAATCGAGAAATTGGGGTTCAGAAGTCTTCTCTGCTAACGCGGCTACAACCTTCTTTTTGCAGAAAAAAAATGTTTTTTGAAAGTCAAATTTGAACTTTTTACCGTTTTTTAGAAACTTCTTAACTTTTCTTATAAAATACCCTGGGGTTCCATCGAATGAACCGGCTGCCATAATCTTTCCTGTAGAAGCGGCGTCTTTTTAATTTTCAAACGAAAAATGTTATGTCTTCGGGAAGATTTCATTTTCTCATAAATTTTCGCCCGTCTCTTTTATTTTAGTAGAGAAACAACTATGGTCATCACACATTAGTATAACAAAATAGATTTTATTTTTCAGACTTCCCAGCGGAATAAACGTCTAACTTATTGATAAAATGCTTAAGAGTCGCTGAACGTTGTTTAGATTCTTATTTAGGTCGGGATGATTTTTCTTTTAAGGAAAAGTCTTAAAATTTTTTCAGGCTCCAATTTATTTTGTTGCGGTTTGACTTTTGATCTTTTTAAGCTTAGCTCATTTTCTTTGTTGAAAGGAAGGCAAACGCCACTATCGAACAGCAAAAATGTGAAGGCCACGAAAAATGTAATCGATTTTTAGTTCCGAAAGTGGATTTTTTTTCAGATTTCCCAGCGAAATAAAATTTAGTTTATTGATCCAGTTTTCTTTCATTGGGTTGATTTTTATCAAGAAAGTGCCAATTATAAGTTGTTCTCGAAATAGAAAGAGCTTTAAGATCATGTATTTTTTTTCGAGTTTCGAAAGCTGAAATTTTTTAAAGATTAGTTGAACTCATTAACTTCTTCCAGCTGTCTGTTGGCTATGTTTTTCTTTGCAATTATAAGCATCACAGAATGGTGGGAACATTCTGTGATGCTTGCACAGCAACCGGCTATCTTAATAAGAATAAGAATGAGAAGTTCTTTTGATAAGTCTGAAAAACTAAAATCGTTCGACCAATTTTCCTCGACGTTGAAGAGCTTTTCTGAAATCACGACAGAATATTTATTAAACTACAAACATTGCCCTACAAGCTTTCTTTAGTGACTTTAAAATGGCTTGAAACGATAGAACCAGACACATAGCTTCTTCTAAAAAAAATAGACAACTTCGAGTTCTGTGCAGAGATCATCTTTTCGAAAGTGGAATTTAATTACATTTGGCAGAGCAAGGGTCTTGCAATTGGGAACTAGGCTTTTTTCCTGGTAACAAATTTCCTTACAAATTTTGCGTTTTTAACTTGCTTCATTATTGAAGCTTAACAATTTCCATGAGTTTTCCTACGTGGTCTAGAGGTTACGCCGTCGCCTTTGCACCCGAAGTTCGGGGAGTCCCGGCCGGACCATGTTTTTTTTCAGTCTGTATGCAATTGAAGTTTTTCCGGTGAAAATTGAATTGAAAAAACTTTGAAATTTTTTAAATACTTTAAAATCTTTTACCTAAAATAAGTTTTTTTTTGGCTCAACTGGTGTCTGCTTAAAGATTGTGGGCTTCGCTGCCACATCACAGATTTTTCTTGTGCTGCAAGCAATTTTCATTGTACTTGCAAGTGCAAGTCTTGTTCATTGTAGTTTCAAAGATGTATTGTATTGCGTTGTATCGCATGTATTTGCATTTTTTCTCGTTTGTGTTGTATCGCATGTGATGCGAAGCTCCGCTTCACCTCTGTGTTAACATCTTAAGTTTTGAAATAAAAAGACCAGAGGCTGACTTAGGTAGGGAAAAGGTAGGCGAGCCACTTCAGGGATTCGATCTTCTGAACGTCCAAAGCCCTCTTTTGGAACTATTTCACCTTTTACCAAGATATTTCTAAAAGAGCCTTCGGAGAGAATAAACAAAATTTGGAGAGTGCTCATCATTTTACATAAGATTGATATTAGTGTTATACACTCTTTTGTCGTTTCTCTTAGCTGCTCCTAGGCGTATTGTGCGCCGAGTGCCTATATACGCGTGTTGGGAGGAAACTGATGGTGAGTGTTTTACATTCTGTTCTAAATTTCTATAATCTTTCCTCTCAAATTGCTATCTGGTACAGAAGAGTAAATAGAATTGCCCGTAATCACAGTATCAGTTTAAAAGCTGAAGCTGCCGTTGTTTGAGCAAGGTAGGCCAAATTGAGTAAAACGCAGCAGATGGACGGCCTTCAGATTTTCTGATGATTTTATATTTTATTTTGTAATTTCATTTGAACTTAGATCAGCTATTAAATAATAGTCTAAGAGCCCTGATAAACTGTGAAAAATGGAGACAAATTATACTTATTAAGCTAACATTCTGAAATTGTTAGAGCTTTGGCTTCATTGAGATCATTTGATCTCTTGAAATGTCATTTCTTCCTTCATTCAATTTTGAATACCTTTTGCATTGCAAAAGAAGAAGTTCAACTGATTTTTTGTTGAATTTTGTAGGTCTTTCTCCACTTGAAGAAGAGCGGCACAATCATGCATATTTAAACGAATCTGGGCAAGTCAGAGAACAGAACCAGCATAACATTAGGAGAAATGATAGCAGTTACGCTTCAAGAAGCACAAGTTGTCAATCTGCTTACGCTCAAAATCAAGCACAATCGCTGTACTGTAAAATAAACGAAAATGAACAGCGCAACTCTTTTGGACGAGAGTTTTCGAGAAACGACAGAAGTGCTTTAGCGAGTGTAAGTCAATTTTCTCGGATACTTTTTACTTGATGTTTGTGTTGAAAAGCGATTGCTAAGAAGGTTCGGTACGTCATCGGAAGTAAGGCGCATCGGTAGTAAGTAAACTTACTGAAGTCGATTTTAACCCTAGATCACAAACCCAAAAATCTTGGACTTAACTTTGAATCTTTCTTAAATACTCCGCCGTTTAAACAGTGTTCAATAGCCTTGCCAAGCATGTTGTATTAACTCTCAACTCTGCGAGGTGTTTCACTCGGTCAAATTTAGTTGGGAGTCTGATTATTGGCGTCTTGCCTAAAATTCAATGGTCTAGTTGATAGATAATTGGAAATTGTTTCAGCTCTCTACCCAGCCTTTGCCACCTGATTCTGGCTACTCTTTTAACAACAATAGAGGTAATTCTAGCTCGAGAAGTTACGACTTCATGCGGGCACCATTGAACAATCGAGAGATGCGCAATACTTTGTCTCAAATGTGGAGAGATGATGTTATCAGATCGCGGTATGGATATGATGATGCGTCTTCTGTGCCATTTATGGGAGGAAGTCTGGAGGAACGGTCGAATAGTCAATTAAGATATCTGCAGGAAATGAAAGAAGCAACCATTAGGCAACAAAGGGCGAATTCTGTGTGTTCAGGGGGCCAAGATGAAAGCATGCAAAGTAGAATGAGTTATCTGAGTGCCTTTTCGGAGTCTGCGAGCGGAGAGACTTCCCGATCTGTTCCTGAAGATGAAGGAAGAGACATTTTGGCGGGATTCACCTGCTTGGTGGAAAACTTGCCCAGGGCTCAAAGTACACTTGTAAGGAGTTTCAAAATGCCTTTCGTGTCAATTTATTGGACAGAAACCGAATTAGACAAATTGAAAACTATCGAGCGAATGTGATTAAAAATTCAGGATCGGATTTTAAACTTGCTATTGGAAAGTTTATCATAGTGGTTACTATTTTTTCCTCGAGCAACTTGTCTCGCTGAAACAGTTTTCATGCGTTGTTATTAGGAGCTAATGAACGTTGATTCTTTTTCTTTTTTTTCAGGAAAAGTGGTAAAGTTTGTTCAGGCTCAAATTTACTTTTTCACAGTTTTACTTGTCGTTTTTTTCAAGTTCTGTTAATTTCCTCCGTTGAAAGGAAGGCAACCTCCACTATCAAACATCAAATGTGTAAAGGCCACGAAAAACGTGATTGACTTCATGTTTTGAAAAGGGAATTTAATTTTCAGACCTCCCGGCGGAATAAAAAATTATCTATTGATCCAGTTTTTTCATTTTGGTTTATTTAATCAAACAAATATCAATCTTAAACTGTTCTAGAAATTCAAAGAGCTTGAAGGACATCTATTTTTTCTTTAAAACTCGTAAGTTGAGATTTTTTCCAAAAAAATTAAGTCATTTTCCCGTTCATTGAGTCTTTTCCAATTGTCTGTTTGCTATGTTCATCAATAATTTTACTTCTCTTATTGTTGTGACCATTGTGTTCGGTTGTTTTTTTCTTGTATTTACATAAAATCAGCGGTAGAGATTGAGTGTTATATCATATCGGAGCCCGTAAAGTCTTAATTCGAACGATCTTAATAATTTCTTAAAAGTTTTCTTTCAGTGTCGAGAAAAGCCTATTGGAATTTTTACTTCGTCCAATTTCTAAGAAAAAGAGTATCGAGAAGGCTTGTTATAGAAGGATAAGCAATGAAAGTTTTTTTTTGATCCCTGAGATCATAGTTTTTGTTCTATTGAAAGGGAAGGGTCTTAGCGCCATCTTGTAATTAAAAAAATTATATAAAGTTTTGTTTTTCTAATCATTTTTCGAAGGAAACTTTTGTCGATTATGTTTATTTACGATGCAACGAATATGGCGGAAATCTGGGCTTTCTTTCTCACCACGCTCAAAAATTTAACTCATTTGAATATGGTCGGAGTAATCTGTGCTATTTGCTCAGCAACCGGCTATTGGTGTTCCATGTATTCCAATTGCCAGCTGGCGGCGGATTGCTTTTTCATGATTTTTTTGTGATTTTTTCCTGCTTAAATGGCGTTTGCTTAGAGGCTAATGTTAGTAAATGACCAGTGAAGTTTTGCTGCTGTCTTTAACGTCAACTTTAAGAATACGTTAAGAGTAATGAACGTATTCTTCAACTTTTGCTGCTGTCATCAACTTGCTTTTTAAGAGTGATGAACGCAGTTAAAAATTTACTTACTGATCCAGTTTTTTCAAATTGGTTCATATTAATCTAAAAAGCACCAAACACACATTGTTTATGAAATTCAAAGAGCTGTAAGGGCTTACGTTTTTTCCTAACATTCAAAAGTTTTTTCAAAAAACAAGTCAGTTTTCTTTTCTGTTTCCTTGGGTTCCTTATTCTTTTCTAACTCTCAGTTGGCTTTGTGCTTCGGATTGTGTGAACAATGCTCAGAACTCGATTTTGCAGACGATTAGTGTGCAAGCAGCACAGAAAGTCCGACCAAATTAAAAAAACATTGTTCAAATTGTTCGTGCCGTTTTTTATGCTTGGTGTGATAAAAAGATCTGAACGAAAAAAAATGAATTTAGGCATGTTTGAGAGTAATAGTAAAATAGGTCAATTGAAAAACAGTTTTTGATGAAAAATCACCAGTAAACGAAAAAAAAATATGAAAAAATTTAATTTTTTTTGAAAAAGTTTTTTATAATTTTCAAGTTTTTGATTCCAAAAATTGCGCTTAAAAACTCCAAAAACTACCTCTACTTGGAAAAAAAACTAAGTGTTCGCCTCTAAAATTAAGCTTAAATAAGCTATTGTAAGCGTACCCGGTCACCTTAATAACTCGAAATTAGACCAAAAATTTAAGCATTTCAAACCGGTTCGTCTCGACACTGAAAATTTTCGTTATGTGTTTTAAATCACGACTGAAAGGGATTTACTATGATATAACACTCAACCGAGTCCGATCATTATTTGTGGTACCTGATTTTGCGTGGAGAAAACTAAAACACTCCCGAATACAAAGTTCCTCCCCATTTTCAATGGTCGGAACAATTAGTATATCTCAGCGGACCCTGACGCACACAGTGCGCGTCCCGTAGCTATCCTAGCCATGCCGAGATTGAGCTGGTCACTCTTGCTACCTGGTCACCTAAAGGTAGCGTGTAGTGCATACGACATCCTACCTTACGTGACCAGCTTGGATCCTATAGGGGCACCACTCCTATTCAATCCCACTCGTTGGCCCTTGATCATCATAGATAACCCACAGGGGTAACTTTAAAAGGTCTCTGGCTTAGACCGAGGTCTTTGGCTTAGACCGATGAGCATAGCTCATGCACTACTTGGGCAGGAATATCGTATCGCCAGCTTTCTTTGCCCTACTTGCAGGTTCATACTTTCGGGTCCATTTTAACCGGCAACTTAAGATCCTTTAACAATCGCCGGTAACTATAGAACATAGCTACTGCTTTGAGGGAAGAGTGTCCATAAAACTCCCTTAAACAAGAGTTTTTACACGACTATGGAAGCATAGACCTTCGCCGAACACGAAGCCGTTCAAAGTGTCGATAGACGTACGGGAAACCTGCCACTGGTTAGACCAGTGGCCAGGAGGGGCACACGCAATACAAAGATGTCGGGTATCCTCCAAGCCTCACGTTTGCCGAAGCAACGCTCCCCAAGGTTCGCACCTACGTCTCTAAGCACTGGGCAATGCGGCGTGTGACGTTTGCTGAAAAAGCCTCGTTTGATGAACCATCGGTGATATACTGTAAGTTCTCCAGTATAACGCACAGGCAGACAGGAAATACAAATACCTACCCGACAGTCCAAAAGCTCAGACCGATTCCCCAGGATGCACAGGGGTAGATCCGATTACTGCGGACCACACCTCAAAGGACTACACCACTCGAGGATGTGTCACACTAAAGCATCCCGTCGAGGAGGTCTCACATTAAAGCATCCCGGTGTGGTCTGTGCTGCTCAATTAGTATTTTTTTACACCAGTTTTGATGTAATCCGATTATGAAACAAACTGATGTTTAGATTATTTTTTTCCATACGGAATTAGAAAAAAATCACAAGGTGACCGTTTAAAATCAATTCCGGATCTGGTTAACTATGGACCCCTCTTCCTCCCTCTCCCGTGCTATCTACTAACGAATTTCACCTACAAAGAACTAATTCAACGGTTAAGGATATGTGAATTTTGTTTCTCTAGTGAATTAACCCTTTTTGCAATAAGGGAATAGTTAACAAGATCCAGTATCCCAAATGACCAGTAACATAGTAACAAAACAATATTTATTTTCAACAAAAATGAATAACAAACATGTTTTTTCTAGATCACTCAAGTATAAATCAATGATGCATTCATTTCAGGTAACTTGGCATCTCATACACATTATATTTTTATTCCAGACACAGGGTACGGTGGTTTCGATTTTAAATAAATCAAGGGTATGATTGGAAAATTTGAAAAAAGTTTGAACTTTCATTTGTTTATTCTTGACTCGTGGTAAGATTTCTGCAGTTGAATTGCTTTTCGTCTACTGTGGAGAAAGTTGAGGGCAATAATGTTTAAGGTTTGATAAATATGAAGGGTTACAGTGGCTGAAAAATAGTTTTATAGAGTTAATTTTGTATGATTTATTTCTTCTTCACTTAAATCCCCGCTTGTTTTCAGATTTATTTTGCTCTGAGATGCGAAAGTTGATTCAGCATTATATTTAATAGCTTTTTTCATTGCGATCAGTTTTCCAACTGTCTATGGGCTTTTTTTCTTTTCGGGTATCAATTGTTTCTCTTTTTCTATGAGTTAAGGTTTCTTACTCGAACGGGTTTTGTCTCTACAATTTGAATCAGATTTTCTATCTTTTGAAAAGGCGTAAAAATGAAAAATGGCTTATATGGATGATTTATTCTGGCCTATAGCTTAGACTTTTCATTATCTAATTGCAGGTTTTCCCCAAAAATGGTTTGAATCAGTTCTATGCTTGGCATCGCCGAAGCTCTGCTTTTTTGAGACAAATAAATAGTAATTTTCTGCGCAAGATTTTGTGCAACATTATTCAACGGAAAGTTTCAGGGCAATGTAACTACAGACAATTATCTTTTTGGTTCTCTAGGGTGATTTGAAGAACATGCTTAAAAACTCCAGAGTTGACTACACTGGCTTCCGCTTCCGTCCCCGATTCGGCTCTGCTCTAGTCTCCTTTGGCGACTTCTCAGAAGCGGACAGGTTCCAAAAACTGGCATCTACGTACGTTATCAGAGGCGAGAGACTGTGCTGCTATGTGCTAAGTCCATGAAAAGGGTTTCTTTTGAAGATTTCAATAAAACAAATCTGATTTGAGTGCTCATAAAGCAGTATCTAAATTTCCGAATCTTATTTTTCTAAATAAAATTTTCCAATTCAAAAAGTTTGAAATTCGCTTTAAGAACTTTTTTTGGTATTGCTTTAACTTGGCATTCGGACTGAAAACTTCGAATTTGAATTTAAACTTCATAATTGTTGATATGAAATTTCATTGAATGTTGAATGAAAAGAATGTATTGAGGGCAATATATAGCCCGAGGCTGTTATATTGATTTTCTTGATAAAAATAAGATGTAAAATTGCCTCGTCGCAGTTGAATTCATCTGTTATTGTGTTTGATTCTCGGGTTATAAAATTATTATTGAAATTATGTTAACTTTGATTTGTTATATTTGTCAAAAAGTTACACTTGCTAAGCATTGTATGACATGATTTTTGTTCTGAAAAGTTAAGAATTGTTTTGAAGGTGAAAGAATTCAATTTTTTCCACTTTTATTGCTCGAAGGAACTGCTACTCAACCTAAGTTAGTGACATTCGTTTCTAGGTGTAGAGGTTTTAAGCTGAACCAATAAATCAGACATGATTGGTGAATGAATCGTCTCCAGAAATGATATTGTGAGGCAGTCTAAGTTGGTTTCATAGTTAGTCAATTGTACAGGGCGGATTTTAAAGATATCAAGATTGTGATTCTCATTTTTCCTTTAAAATTTAATTAAGTTCAGAATTTATACATTCAACACCGAGAGTGAATTTGAAAAGTCAGTGAAAAGTAACATCCGAAATACATTACAAAAAATAGAAAGTTATTAAACAGTAAAAAAAGTAGGTCTCAAAGACTTGAGTTTTATAACAGAACAAACAGAATGGGAAAAAAATTTATTCCCACAAAATCAACACCAACGTCTGTCGTGAGCAAATTATGATTAAAGTGCTATCAGCTATTCAGATTCAACCAATAAAATAAATCGAAAAAAAAAAATCAAAAAGTTCGCAAAAGCGGCTCCTTAAAAATTTGAGAGACCGTTCGCCCAAATATAACCAATGGATGGTGATATATTTTACCCTGAATCAAATGAGGGTGAATATTTTTTGCCATCTGTGAGCGAAATTGTGGGAGATATCGTTGGGGCCAGTAGCAGGAACAGCGCATGTTCAGCAGATTCAAATGTGAACCAATTGGCAGACTGGAGATTGTTGGACGACAAAGCTGTTCAGAACTGGTTAGCTTAAGAACTAATGAGAACTACCTTTTTAAGACTCGATGAACGAAGTCTGTTTTATATATAGCTTTTAAGAAATTCATCGGACAGCGTCTTAATTTTTTTGAAATAATTATGACGTTGAGACAGTGAAAGGGCGTTAAAACTGCAATCGATTTTTCAAAACTGGATTTGAACTGTCAAAAGGGCAAATTTAGTTTTTCGTGGTTTGACTTTTAGTTGTTTAAGTTCAGTTCTTTTCAAGTTGTCAAAAGGAAAGCAAACTCAATATGGAACAGCAAAATTGTAAAGGTCAGGTTTTTAACTTAGATTTTTCAGTGGAATGATAAATTTACCAACTGATCCAGCGTTCTCAAATACGGTAAATTTTATCAAAAAGTCTATCATAAATTTAAAATTGTCTTTATTTCTGTTCCATTGCAATAATCGGCACTTATTACTCTCTGTTGGCAATGTTTTGATTTTCTTTACTTCAATCGTTGTGTTCGGAACATTGCTACTGTCACAGCAACCCTCCATCCTTGTTATCCGTTTTTTTTTCATCTAATGCAAAATCAACTTCATGGGCGCTGGCGAAGCAATCAGGACTAGGATTTGATCAGTCTTGTTACAATATATGGGAGAAAAAGATGGAAAGTTGTCCATGTTTTAATGATAGGTGTCCATAGTGGCCGATCTAGCTTTTTCTTGGCATCCGGGTTTGGTGCGTTGAATCGAAAATGATTCGTGATATCTCAAACGACCTTTGGAACCTTATTTTTGTTTTAGCTTCTCTAACTACGATGAAACTGAGTTTTTCTACTATCAATCGAAACTGCCACAAGATAATGCTGTGGAAGACTGCCACATTGTTGAGCATTATCCAACATACGGAGTTTTCTCGGCAGGTGAAAACGATTCGATGTTTTCCAGTGCTGCCCTGGAACCGCAAATGATGACCATTTATAGTGAAAGTGTTGACATGGCAGCTCAGCAATCAACAGGTAACGTAACGTGCTAAGTAGTCAGTGTTCTCACAAATTATCCGCTCGATTTCTTGTTTCGGAAAGGAAGCTCCTAGGGTGTCAAGTGTGTTATGAGTAATAGTATAGCGCAACAAGAGGTCATGCCTGTTTTCGGAGAAAGGTCAACCTTGTCAAGGTCGCGTGACTATGTTACTCAATTAGCCTAATCTTTTTTTTCTCGGGGGTCGTAATAAAGATCTGATCAGATTTATTTTTTCACCTGCGTTAATTTTTGGGGTATATGACCGGAATTATTGGGGAAATTTTATCCAATTGTTAATTAAGTGGATAACTCTGTGACATCGCTGAGGGAAACAAACTCTTATCAGATTAATTTTTTTCACTTGAATTACTTATCGGGTATTTAACCGGCATCCTTGGGAGTAAATTGAGGACTTGTTGGTTGTCTAAATTACCTAGCTTTATCAAGTAGACCAGACATTTGCTTTGCAGCAAATCTTCTAAGTTCTTTTGTGGAAAACCCAGGTGAAAAGCATTGGAAAGCCGGGAAAAATTGTCTAAGATATCTGCTAGGAACAAAAAGTTTAACTTTAGTATTTAGGAGAGATAAGACCTTGAATCTTGTTAGCTATTCGGATGCGGACTGGGCAGGAAATATAGACAATAGGAGAAGTACCTCAGGATATTGTTTTAAGCTCAGTGACAACTCAGGTGTAATAAGTTGGTCTAGCAGACTTCAGCGTTGTGTATCAACTTCAACAGCCGAAGCAGAACACAATGCTGTGGTCGAAACAGTGAAGGAAGGAATTCATTTACAGGGCATACTTAGCGACTTAGGCATAATTTGTAATAGGCCTCTAGAAGTTTTCGTTGATAACCAAGCTTGTATTGCCCTTAGTAAACTCTCAATGAACCACGGAAAGACGAAGCATTTTGCCATAAAACTACACTTCCTTCGAGAGTTAGTTGAACAGAAGGTGACATTAACCTTTTCACCAACAGCAAACATGCCTGCAGACGAAAAACTTGGGAAGATGCAAAACTGCATTTTTCCGAGACATTCTACTAGGAACCACCTAATTTGAAAGGCGAGGTATTGGTGATTTTTGCTAACTGAACTGGAATTAATCTTTCTTATTCGGTTCAAACTGAAAGATCACTTCCCGATTTTTGTTAAAATTAGCTGGTGAAACATGACCTTTAGTCATTGCTTCGAGCAACTTTGTGCGGGTGATTTACCATATATATTTGACCTGAATTGCTACTGGATTTATCACTCAAATCTCATTAATTCACTCCTTATTAATCAACCGTTTGTCGCTGCAATAACCTTGATAAATCGCACTCTCAAAATACGAACGTGGAAATGGCGCGAAAAAACGTGAACGATTTCTTTTCGAAAGTGGAATTTAATTTTTAGATTTCCAGCGGAATGAAAACTTTACCTATTGATCCAGTTTTCTCAGTCGGATAATAAGTCTAGTATGTTAGTCGGCTAATTTAGTTCTCCATTCGGCGGTAAGAATCAAGTCGTTTCGTGGTAAATATCGTCTAATTCGCGGGAGAATTGTTGATAGGCGGCATATTCATGTCGAAAATGTGGCAAAATTAGGTTCGGCAAAGAATAAAGTTCAAATGTCGTAGACAATGCCAAAAGATGATTTGTTTGAAACAAGTTGGCTTTGAAAACTCGGGCTTGGGATTTTTTGAAGCTTGTGAGAGATTCTTTTTGAATTTTTAGATTTGTTGTAAATACGAAAACTTATTGCTAAATATTGGTCTATACTTGAGTTATCTCTTCATAGCATCATCTTGTTTAGGAGGCAAAGTGAATGTGAAGGCTCAAGTGCTCTTCATCTGCTTGATATTCATGTACTACGTCAACACGTGTGGCATCGAGCGCATCTTCCAGTCCATGAGCTACTCATTCGGACTCTGTGGACCATTAAAGTTGGATCCATCAGCAGCAGTTATCACAGACACTGCCTATACTGGGGGATTCATGTCAGGAAGAATACTGAGCATCATTATTGGTGCGTAAATGCATTGCTTCAGAGAAATTAGTAGTTTTTTTTAAAATCAAGCAGAAACTCTTAGCCTTAGTTTTTTTTGATTTTTCATTATAACCGCAAATGTAGACCATTGAATTATTTTGACTGTTTTATAGAAAGTTGAATAAAATGTTTGTACTTGTACTTGAAGGAATCAAAAGCAGCTACTTCCCATCATAGAAGTCGCATGGTGATGGCTACGTGTCTGTTGGCATCTATCTTCTTAGCCCTAGTGAGTGAGTTCTCAGCAACGGGACTATACCTGGGCACTTTTGTGGTCGGATTCTTCATTTCTTCTGAGTTCGGGGGATGTGTCAATTGGTGTGCTAAGGTAGTTTTACTTATGCAGTCCGTCAATTCGTTTTTATTTTAAACTTTATCAATTGAACCGAAAATATTTGTTTGTTCGTAAAACAGGTTAATTGAAATCCCATTACAGAAATTTTTCTACTCGATATACATCGAGATTTTTGAAATGCTCAATCATACGCAATTTAGTTTGATACATTCTCATTTATTACTTGCAAAGTTAGTGTAGTTGCCTTTAGTTTATTACACCTGCATGAGCAAGTGTCTTGTAATCGGAAACTAGACTTTTCCCCCCGTTAACACCTTTTCTTACAAATTTGTGAAATTGCTGTATTAGTGAATCTTCGCAAATTCGAGACTCTTTCTCACTAGCACAGAGTTTACGGGGATGCCTTTGTTCCCTAATTTCTGGGGTTAGTGTCCCAGCCGGACTTTGTTTTTGAAATTGCTTATGAAATAGAAAATTTTTTTCCGGGAGAAATTGA